CGCATTCCCAGAGAAACATTATATATGCACTGTGCATCCGGCATGCAAATGTGCACACATGGAATTTTGGAATTGGCTAAACTTAGACAACAACGAACGGAATGGAAATTTGGATATCACATTACATATCTGCTCAAATTACACCAATTATTCAAGAAACTCCATTCGATATTTGATGCCTGCCCAGACGTGTAATGTCTGACTCTAATAACTGCTCATACATTTGGGAATTCATGCAAAGTTGTGTGCATTCAACATCAATGAGCGAGTTTTTCTGTGGACAATTCTCTGAATTATTTCACTTTGATAAATCTTTCACTTTAGCTGACAAAATGTTGTACTTTTAAGCTTTCAGTCTTGTTGCAGTTATGTTGTTTCAATGTTTTTTCCGGTTTTTTGGAATGAGAAACCAAATTTAGATGCTGAAATCTAATTCCTTGGACCTTGAATGCTGATTTATTGTGACACTTTACATCAATCGTCTTTCGCTGTTCACATAGTTTCACTTACAATCAGGATCGAATTCCTGTAAGAAACGTCCTGTTGCGACAATTGCAAAGCAATGGCGTTCTTCAGACACCAATTGCCTTTCACCTAAACATTGAATATTCAATATTTTTAAACTGTAAATGTAATGATCCAATCACGCTATCACCATAGCAGCGTTTGCTCAGTTCCCTGAGCGCGTTTGATCGACAAGTGAATAAAGCAAGCTCTCTAGCATGAAGAATAGTGCTAGACTGAGAAAAACGATCAGCATATTGAGAAAGCATGAGAAATTATTGAAATGAGCTGAACAAAATGAAATTAATGAGAAATTTACAAAACAAATCGAGAAACTGGCTTCGTGAATTCGGAAAATTTTGTCTGAATTATGAAGCTAACAAGAAATTCACAGGATTAATCACAGAAGCACCACACACGAGATCGATTCTAACCTCGCTCGCTCGATTGAAGCTTGAACTTATTGAGTCATTAAGGAGCAGTGACCTGAAATCAATTCGTTTCTTTTTTTGATATTACCTAATGGATTCTCCCTACATATTAAGATGCAAACTTCTAGTTTACAACGCCGCTTCCACCCCTATCATGCTACCTGCAAGTACCGTACCTATAGATGACGAAAATGCATTTTGTGCCTTTTTATTCTTCGGCTTTGTGCGCATGGAAGCAAATTACTGTTGTATTGTTATGACTCGTGCAAAATCGTTGCGATAAATCTTAAAAGCTATTAATGTCACTCAGAATGTTTAAAATGATATGCATGATTCAGTACATAAATTATGCCTTTCGGCAAAAGCGATGTGTCAACAGTAATAGAATAATCAATTAGCCAGTCATGTGATAGGAAACTGCGAGTTATTTAATTTGCTTTCGTGCTATTTACGTGCTTAT